TGCGGTTACACGATCAGGTGCTTGTTGCGGCGAAAAGGGGGCTGTGGCGCGCAAAAACCTGCACGTCACGTCTGTCTGCCCTCCACCCGATGCGTAGCAAGAGCGGAGACCTGCCAGCTGGCTTGTCACTTGATGACAACAACGTTGGCAGGGCAACAATGTAGAGGAGTAACTCTGCATGGACTATGGACAAAGTATATAATATATATGAAATTTATCAGCATTGCACTACTGCAAAAAAAAGAAAAATAAAAAAAAGACACGGGTGTATCTTCTAGATACTCGTACATAAACTCTTTTTGTATCTGCTGTTCTGTACCAGAGAACTTGTTTGAATCTTATGATGCTTTTTAATGTTTTATTCACTTTCATTTTTTTTTCTTTCTTTTTCTTTTTTTCTTTCTTTTAAACGGCTTAACGGCATTGTCATGCCTCAAATAATCCATTCCAAGTTGTATATTTTTGTTTTCCAATAAAATTTACAACCCAGATTTGAAAGGTTTCCTTGTTTCTAGAGCATCCTTAAAGCCCTTGATAACTCAAAGCTCTTCAGTATGTTGACCGTTATGCATCCCTGAGCTGATTTTTAGTGGTTTCGATCCACTCACCAATTACATCAACCAGAATGTTTACAATTATTGTAGTAGAAATGGTTCATTTGTAAATCATCATACAATGTATCTCTGAGTCAACTGGTCAAATTACTATGTGTAATCACAAAATAGGCTGGGGGTCAGGCCTCCTTGTCAAAGCAAAATAAACGTTCATTAAAGTACTCTTGAATGACAATTGTGGTAGAAGTCATCTTTTGTATCCACTCTTTGTTTTGACTACACCAAACACAATGTAGTTTTAACATGGGGGAGATTTCAGAGGGATGTTCAAATGTAGTAACAGCTTAATAGTCCAATTGATTGTAAATAAAGCTACACCTCCACATTTTCAATGAACAGTATGATGGAAGTTTCGTCTGCATTTGCAGCAAACTTATTGCTAACTGCCTTGGGAGCATAAGGATTTGTGGGGTAGATGTAGGCTGATATGGAATGAAATTACAGCAGTAGATGTTATGGGAATATTTGTGCACATCTTCATAATGTTACAAAAAGGAGTAAAACAGTGCTCACAATGGGGTTATTACATAATGGCACATATAATTAAACTAATCATTTATTTGTTTTCTGCATAGAAAACAATGAACATTGTCATAATGGAAACTCCAGATCTAAAATAGGCAACATGTACCAAGAGTGCTCTAAAACTACTTGCACAGTGGGGCCATTAGAGACTGTGTTCCTGCTCATTGGTACTAGAGACAGGTTTGATGAACAGTAAGCACAATGCCTCAACTGTAGCTACTTGGCAGCACATGTTCCAGGTAGCCTAGCAACAGAGCAGAACATTCTGGCCAACTCCCAGGGAGATGCTAGCAGACCGAGATGATGCAATGAGCACAGTAACTCCACCACATCAACCAACACGCACTGCCAGCACTGCACCATATCCCACACTGCTACATAAACCGAGATTTAGGGGTTTTTAGTTTTAAAGAAAATTAGTACATCATGGTGTGAAATGAGGGGCAGTGTCATGCCTTTTCTTCAGCTTCCATAATGAATGCAGTAGGTAAATAACTCTGCATCTACAGTAAGGTGATATAATTGTGACATTATTCCAACATTCCTCAAAAAAAGTGAACGTGCTGTACCTTCCTGTCATCTCAGCTTTTTAGAGAAATTACTGTCATGTTGCTCATGGTTGACATGACTAGTGTAGCTGGCAGCAGCTAAGCCAGCTACATAAATACATACAACCAATTAACTACATTGGTGGTACATAATTTTACATACTTAAAATTATCAGATATTCCACTAATTTTCAAAATTTATGCATAATTGAACCATTATAATGCAAACAAAGTCATTTAGAGTGGCTTGATGATGAAATTGTGTATCTAGTACAGATACTTATTGTGGTGGAACTGGGGGTCGCAATGTCTGTGTGCAATTTTTCACTATCCAAAACGACCAATGAACCAATGCATCTGAGTTTTTGATGTGTAATAGTGAAATCTGTGGGTATTTTGCCTTATGATGCCCTGCATGTATCTCTTTTTTCTATTTGTAACCACTATGTATTAATTTTCAGTGAGGTAGCTTTTAGATGCATTGAAAGATTTGTAAGTCTGTTCATATCACCACTGCTGTGAACAATTCTGGGGCCCGATTCATGAAATCTATCGCAAGAAAATGGTTAAACGCGCAAACACCTTCCCCACAGCGAAGTGGGGACGTTCTGACGTGGCAGAAATTCTGGGGTGGCATCTGGGGTAGCCAATCAGATTTCAGGGCAGGCCCTGGCCACTGCTGGCCACCCCTTTAAAAGCATGCATGCACCTTGGTAAGCTGAAGAGATATGAACGCAGTATTTCTGAGGTTAATAACTTTTGTGGGTTTCTTTGGTCGCTCACGCAGCCATCTTGCCGGTTTTTCTTTTTTCTGCTAACACTCTGTTTGGAGTGCCTCTGAAAGACCTCAGTTTGGAGGGCCATGTAGCCCTAACACTTCGCCCTACCCACTCTATCTCAACAAAAATTGGGACACCCCAACCCTAGACGTGAACGCGCAAAACAGAGGGCTAAGGGCTAAGTGGTAGGGGCAAGGGGTGAAATGGGATTGGGCCTAAGCATGCAAGTCAGCACTCAATCCAGTGTCTTTCAGTTTTCATTGCTTTCCTCCAAATTGGTCATGTTCAGTATAATCATCTCAATTGGTCGGGGCATGAAGAGCTCAAAAACTGATTGTCATAGATGTGGGTGGCAGTAAATCATGTAGGCTCTGGAACCATTTTGATGACATCAGAAGCTTAAAGTCCGCTTGGGTTTTGTTGTGGTGAAGGTGACCACTCTATATTTAACGTTACATCTTTAGATTTCCGTGGCCCAGCTGCTCTCTGTGGTGTCTGTGCTGCACTGTTTTTATCTAACAAGAGTCTAAGGCAGATCCTATCTTCTGAATGCTCTTCCCCGAAAGAAAATCCAACATTTAGATCTTCAGCTGCATCTGTCTCTGAAACCTATTCCTCTATCTAACATCTGTGATATGACTTCTTGGACTGTGAGTCTTTTGGAGCTCATTTTTCAGCATCTGTGTTCATGTCCGTTGCAGTACTCACAAGAAATGTGGAGAAGCTCCTTTGTACCATCAGCTATAGCTGCTTTTCAGGCATCTCCGACAGGAAACCTTTCCAAAAGCTGAATAATTTCCTGTAAAATGTCTTTAAACGTTTTTTTTCAAGGCTGAAGTCAGCTCCTCATTCGAATTTTCCCGTTCCACCTTAAATGGTGCCTGACGCAAAGAAATGTAACCGCTACACCATTTAAGGTGGGACGGGAGAATTCGAATGAGAAGCTGACTTCAGCTTTTTTAGTGTTTGACAGTTTCTTGTTGCAGATTAAACGTTTTAGGAAACCAATTCAAATGAGTCAGTTCCTCTCCAAATTATCGATGTTCGTCTTAAATCTTTCTCCTTGCCGTTTTGTTAGCTACTAGCTAGACGAGACTGTTGTCGTTGCTATGGTGACCAGCAGTCTGCGCGCCAACCTTCAGGGTTAAAGGTCGGTGAAATAGCTATTAGCATTAACTCCAGCGTTTAAGACCATTTAGTGTTAAACTGTGTTGAACGATCAGCAGAGCTTTATTTTACTGCAAAGGATGATTATTTTATTTTTACCTAAAAGTCTAATTCTGCTGTGGAGACGTAACAGAGCCGCATGTTGCCGAACCCTATGCTTTTGTTTGCCTATGCTTTTATTTTAGGTCTGTGAAACCCGCTGTAGTGTCAGGAGCCAGAACATCAACAGTACGTTTTTGTACATAAATACTGTAAAGACATAGATATACATACCGAGATGCCGCGTTGGGTTCAGCCAGGCACGTCAACGGTTCCGCCATTTTGGGGCGGTCAACATCGCCGCTGGACTGCATTCAGTACCATTACGGAGCGGCAGTTAAAAATACAATCCAAAATTACACTATTTCAAGAATATTTCACTCAGAAAGCGCGATAGGAGTATATAACGGAGGGAACGCAGCGGTCCACGCTCATGTTAGTGTGATGTGTATTGTTTATGTTTATGTGTAGATACGGCCGTGTGGTTGGTGACGCACAGAGAACCTGCTGATGTGATCGTTTTTCCTCTGGTTTTATATTAAGCTTATTTCATTCAATGTCTATTCAGGGGGTCTTAACTTTACGTAGTAGTTATTTATTTACAATGATGGCTAAAGCTTTGTAGCAGTAAGTTATGGCATTCCTTAATCCGTGTAGATATAGATTAATGTTAGCACCTTCGTACACGAACCTGAAGTTAGCTTCTTATTTGCCAGCTTCTTGTTCAAATTTTCCCGTTCCACCAGAAAGTGACTGCTGCACCATTTAAGGTGGAACGGCAAAGCTTACTGGAGCTCGCGCTAAACTCACGTCAGGTGCAGACTGAATACTTTCCTGCTGGTCTGGATGGCAAATTAGCACGATTAGTTATTAGATAAATAAAAGCTACCGAGAGCAGTGTAACCTAGATTAATCTGTGTCTGAGGATTATAGCAAAACAAATTTGGTGAAAATCGGTTGAGTAATAAGGAAGTTGTGTCCGATTTAATCCTGAGACTCATCATCTCTCAATACAAGTGGATTTGTTCACAAGCGGATCTTGACCGCTCCAACGTGACGGACGCGCAGACGTATCGCCTCAGATAGAGAACAACAGGCAACACGGCATCTAGGTATGTAACCTATATCTATGTGTACAGACCTTCCCCGACACATCAGTGTGACCACACTTTGCATGCAAGTTCATTACTGTAAATAAAATAAAGTCAAAAAAATTAATGGAGGAAGAAGAAGGTAACCAGTATTTCACACACCTCGGGTCAAACTGACCTACATAATAGGAGGGTTAGGAGGGTTAAATGGGCGTTGGCTTTTTTCGGTCCCAATGCTCCCAGCCAAGCATCGGCAAAACAAAAAATAAACAAACAAATAAAGGTGGATGCTCTCAGCAGTTGTTGGGTTATCCGTTTGAATGTCCCTTGCGTGGCTCGTGTGTAATACTATAGTGTTTTGTTTTCAGTTCCAGTCTGACGAGGATTGTTTCCATTACTCTTCGAAACTGGGTTAAGACTTTTTACTTCTTTTGTCAGAATATCACATACAGTAGCAGCAACTGCCAAATTCTTAACGTGGACATCCTACGTATCATATTTGTAAGTGAATTTAGCGGGTGTGGGTTTACAATCTACCGACCTAATTATCACGTAGAGCCAAGACCACAGCCACAACACCAAGGTTCTTCTGTATTACAGGTTCTCAGTTCGTGAGGCCATGAAGAGCAAAACGGATCTACCTCTGGGGGACAAAAACACCCAATGACTTGATTAATAGTTAATCACGCTAACCGATTATCTGCCGTACCTAAGCAACGGTTAGAAGCTAAAGCTAAAGCAGCGTGTCTCTCTCTCCACACGAAAAACAACCCTCGCCTGGAAACCCAGAGAAATGGCCACAGGAAGAGAAAGAGTCACTGCAAAACTAAGAGACATTCCTCACTCCACTGGGACAGAGATGGTAGGTTTCATGTTTCATGTTCATGAAAAAGAAAGCGAGGATAAAGTCCTAATGTGAGGCAGGTGGTTGAGGATGATCATGTTACATGACAACCGTTGAAACGCTTCCAGGGGGTGTTCCACAAAGCAGGATTTCTCAGGTTAGCTTGATAACTTAATCCCAAAGTCAAGCCTGTAAAGTAGGAAAAGAGCTGAGGAACATTGCCATTGGACAGTCCTCATCTTTAGGCTTAAGTTATCTGGCTAACTGAGAAATCCAGCTTTGTGGACCCCCCCTCCAGTAGTGCAAGCCACGGTGGTAAACAAAAAACCGTCGACTGAGATGCTAGTTTTTAGCTAACCAAGTCTGAACAGGGCTGAAGTATGAAATGTTTATTATCATGTTTCTTTAGAGTCGTGAGAAAGAAGATTTGACTCACAGAGGTGACTGGTGGAAGCAGACTATTAAGGTAGGTCATGTTTCTAATTGCATAAATTTAAGATACATACTCAGGTGGACAGAATAGTGTTTTGTTGTTGTTGTTGTTGTTGTTAAAGGGCCCATATCATCAAATTCTCTATTCTTTTTTTAATAAAAAAGTTTGATCCAGTATGTAAACAATCTTAAAGTTTCAAAATGTACCACTCACCCCAACTAAGCTGCAAAAACAGCCCGTTTTGAATTCATTGTTTTTTGTGATGTCACAAAGATCAACTTATTTATATGCAGCTATTAAGCCTACAATTCATTCATGCTCAAGGTATAGCCCTGCGTTCACACTTGGAGGCAACAAGTTACGTCGCCCCAAGTTTCTCTTTTGTGGGTGTGTTTGAGGCCGCTCGTGTGGGCATGTACATGGTCCAGCTTCCAACAAGAAATGTAATAGCCAAGACAAATAGTCCACTATATGTGTATTGCTATTTTTTTTAAAGTTATTAAATATTTATCTTTAATAACTAAATTTAAAATAAATGAATTTACATTAGATGTGGCTAACAGTTTAAATTGTGTTTTACAGTTTATTAAACATTGGCCATCCAGTCTCTTCTATTCCTACCTGAAATTTATATATTTGGAGGGAAAAAGTCAAATCACACAAGCACCACACTTTGAGAATAGGAATGAAATACCAGTAGGAACAAAAACTTCAGAGAGTAAAAGCTGAAGGCCTTGGACCCCCTTGTCTACTATTGGTCTGAAGAATTTGTTGGGGGCAATTGCTTAGAATGTAGCTTCACCACGTCATAATTCATTTGCATAAAGTTGAGAAAATCTCAACTCGATTTGTCGTTTGTAGCTAAATCGTAGCTACAAATCACGAACTCCCACAGGATATGACTGGTTGCTTGTTGCTCTGCTGCCTGCTAGTGTGAACACAGGGTTAGGAGTGTCTCTACTTTTTAAAATGAATCACAGTATGGGGCAGCCAATCAGAACAGAGCTAATCTACATATATTAGTCTAAAGGCACAGTAACAAAAACAGCCTGGGATAACGATGGCCTTGTAAAAGTAAATTATGACTGTTTTTGGTACATAAACCCACAGAAACTTCATAAGTGGACCTCAGGGAAAAATTAAATACGAGAAAAATGTAGGATATGAGCTCTTTAATGAAATGGTGAGGCTTTGCTAGGCCTGTTGCTCATGCATACAACCAAAAAGGCAAGTTCTCCAGCCTGTGAAAGTATTTTCAGTCAGCCCTCAAAGACAAAATCAAAGTCAAAGTCAGCTTTATTGTCAGTCCCTATCATCACAGATGTGAGGAATGAAATGTAGTTTCTTCAGGATACGGTGCTACATTTAATACAGAGCAGCGGCAGACAACTGTTCAGACAGTGAATACAGTAAATACGCACACTAAGCTGGACAAAACACAATGTAATAAACTGTACTGTACAGTATACAATGAAGTATTGAGCTGCTAAGCGCAGGACATTATAGAGATTACACAGTAGACTATGGAGTGAGAGACAAAAGGAAAAGACCAGCTGTCGATCTACAGTAGAAATGACTGCTGTCCACAACAGATATAGGCTACAGGTTTTTGCTTTCCATTTTGAGTACCTTTTCTCTTTCCAGAACACCCCCATCCCTGGTAGTTATCACATTCGAGATTTTATAGAGGAGAACGGCCTCAATCCTGTGCGTCAGACCTATGGCTTTAAGGGTGCTGGCCGTAATGCACAAACTGTGTGCGTACGGAACGGGGCCATGCTCCTGCCAGGGGCTTACGTTTTCACTGACTCAACTCAAGAAGCTCTCCAGCGCCGAGCATCCTACGCCTTCAAGAGCTGCCCCAGACCAGACAGCTACACCCTGGGCATCCGAGATAAGGTGGGTCAGGATTAATCAGATTGTTTTCTTCAGCAGTCAATGCTGTGAATGTTACAGACACCTTGATAGAGGACAGAATTTTCAGACAGTGTTTTACACCTTGTTTTGTTCACTGTCAAATGAAAATAACAGTGTTAGAAAAAAAGAAGCATCATTAAAAGATGTGTATGTGTGTTTTCAAGGACGTAGATCTCTCTCCGTGCCACTACAATGTGACCGAGAAGCCTGTCCCCAAATTACCTTGCAAGTAAGCAGCCATTTTTGAACTCAGTGTCCTTCCCTTGTTTTTACTTTGTCATTGTACACCCTGCCCTGTAACAGTGAGATGATCCTCCTTTTTAGAACCTCCTTAATCCCAGCCACTTCAGGGTATCTTGCTGCAGTTTTGTCATTTCCTTTCTTGCTACTCTTTCATCCAAAACTGCTCACCTCTTCACTTCCATCTCTTCTCTTCCTCTCCTCTCTCCATCCTGTCCTCACTTTTCTCCATTTAATCCCCGCTCTTCCATGATACGTCTCTTCCCTTCTCCTCTTGCAGGCACGTGATGTTTCGTTCAGCTGTGCAGAGGCTCAGCTTCCTCCCCGTAAGTTTCCAGTTTCTGTGAGAAAGAAGTCTGCCCAGTTCACTCTGTCAGTGTGTGTGTTAGGCCTTTTTGTCTTCATTGTTGTATAATTTTACAAGAGTAAAATAAGCAATAAAAAGTATCTGGTATTTTTTGGCCTTAAAGGGGAATTCTTTTTATTTTTTTCTTTTTCAACATTTTCTGCATAATTAAATATTTAACATGTAAAGAAAATCTTTCAGAGTGGTTTCATTTTAGAGAAACTTACAGGATCAGAAGTGTTCAGTGTCGTTGATAGGAACCAGACATCTAAAGAGTTTATAAACTCTATAAGCTTCCTCACATAAAAATGGTTATGCATATGTTGCCTGCTGTCTGAGATGATAGTTTTGAAAGGTTTTGCCCTATAACAATGGTTTACTGGTAGTTTTGGATAGTAAATAACATTGTAGACATTGTGACCCTTGTTAGTATCATAACTACTGTGAAGAAATCCAAGTCGGTAAGTTTGTCAACACACCCTTTTATCTCAAACCACTCTGAATGGTTTTGTTAATATAAATGATTAATTTTGTTGAAATTTTGCCAAGTTAGTGGACTTCCCCTTTAAATGACACACATCCAAAGAAGAAAAAAAGGCATACTATGATGTTAAGATGTCATTATTTGATCTTTCAAGATATGTTGTCCTTATTATGGTCAAAATCTGTCAAAATCGGCATTCTTTAAACCAGGTCTTTATATTTATATCTTTGATGCAAGAAGTAAAGCAAAATAATGATTCACTCATTTTTTATTGTAGTTTTAAAACTTCCAAATAATACTTGTTTTTGTATTTATGTTGTTCATTGCAGTAACTATATTCTAATCATTTTTAGCCTTTTTTTTCTGCATGTTGAGCATCAGTAGGTTCAACTTGTTCATATTCATATGTGCAGTGCTGCTTTGCTCACTCCATCGTGAGGCGGCCATGCTGGCCGGCTGGATATGTGAGACCGGCTGGCAGCTGTCAGGCGGTGACAGAGTAGCGAGGGTGCTAAGCCACCCATTGGGTGTCATTAGGGTGAATGTTAGTGCTTTGTTTGGTTTTAATGGTGTTGCATCTCATGTAAGACACGTGCTCTGTCAAATAAGCAGTGAAGAAGCTGTATGATTATTACAATAATGACAGCTCAGTAGACACCAGTCTTTTTAAATTTTCTTTTATAATTAAACATAATATAGTTCCAAAATATTTCAGGAGAGCAAAAGATGTTTTGTACTGTACTTAAAATACAGTGGCTATACCATAATCTATGTTTGGGACTAACAAGGCCACGTTGTTCCAGCTACCAGTTAACAAAATCTCACCACTGTCTGGCAGACAAAGAATCTCATTTTACTATGCGATGCAGGCCAGACATTTCCTTTTCCATAAGTAATTTTTCCGCAACATAAAGCCTTCGTTTTGATTTAGCGGTGTGTCAGTCTTCGTTAACTCCATACATTTGACCAGCATGAATCCATCTTTCAGCACACAGTCTGAATTCACTGAAAGCCCTGCTTTCTTTCATCTCCAATCCAGCTGTGACATTGACACCACAGGAGTAACTTACTGGAAGCTTCCTGTTTTGTGGTGTTAGTCCAAATGGAGGCAGCTAAAGCGAGGCTCCTCCTGGGCACACTGCCTCACTTAATGAAAGGAAAGGTCAATGGCTCAGCAGACATTTCTGCTATGAGGCAACTATCAGCGGCGGAATGCGGGCCAGTGGAGGGGCCATGCCGCAGAGAGCCGTTTGGCGTGCGGCTCATTAGGTGACGGGCAGCGGGAAGTGATTTCCCCCCGTGTCCCCTTTAAAAAGCCCCTGAGAAATACACCTGCATTAACACCTCGGGCGCACTTCAGCTTTCCACACGCCGCAAGCCAGGCCGGGGCGGATCATGTTGAAGCTGCTGGTGGAGTCGAGTGGCACGTAATAATAGCAGGCAGCCTCTCCCGAGCAGGGTAATGCGGCCTAGGCCCTGGGGGAGCTGGCTGTAAGGCTCTTCCTCTCACCTATTGCTTTCTGGATGGAAATGAGTCCTGGGTGAATTGTAATATGGCTGTTATGTTTGCACTCTTACAAATGTTGAGAGCATTTCTGGCTGTTCTTCAAGCATAGGATAGAGTTTCAACACTTGTGTATAACCTCATTTTTTGACCCTCCTTTTTTGTTATTGATTTTCATTGATGTATTTAGAAGGAAGGACCACCTCCTGGTCATTACACACTGAAGCCCAGCTCATCTATTGGCATTACGTCCTGCTTCAAGTCTACAGTGCCTCGCCTGCACAGCATACGCTCTGTGAGTCCCAGTGGTCTGCCATCAGAACCCACCTGCTCTTTAAAACTCTTAAATGTATAGTTCAGTGAAAATTTCAATTGGCAAGATTTCACTTCTTTTTCCAAACGCAGTCAATCAGCCAAGACATGTTTTGTATTTTGCTTCTTTAGAACTGAAGCGTTTTGGCTATAATTGCTAACAAACACTGGAAGTCAACAGTCTTCCAGACCATTTCTGCAAATACACGCCCAAAACTTGGGCTCAAACACACTCCACCCTCACACAGGTCTTAATTCAGGTAGCACAGACAAGTCGGTGTGGTTTAGAACACAGTGTGACTTACTAAGAACTATAAAAACATACAAACAGAATAAATAAATAAAACTTCTCTTTGAAGCTAAAATAAGGGGCAGCAATTTAGAATAACTGGAATCTAAAGACAACTAAAGACAGTGCTAAGAGAACTCACAACACAGACAGAAAATCAATAGTGTCTAATTACAAATTTGAGGACTACATTTTCTGTACAAATGATCCTCAACCATATACACCAATCAGGCATAACCTTATGACCACCTGCTTGTTTCTACGCTCATTGTCCATTTTATCAGCTCCACTTACTATATAGGTGCACTTTGTAGTTCTACAATTACAGACTGTAGTCCATCTGTTTCTCTGCATACTTTGTTAGCCCCCTTTTACCCTGTTCTTCAGTGGTCAGGACCCCCGTGGACCCTCGCAGAGCAGGTGCTATTTGGGTGGTGGATCATTCTCAGCATTGCAGTAACACTGACGTGGTGGTGGTGTGTTAGTGTGTGTTGTGCTGGTCTGAGTGGATCAGACAGCAGTGCTGCTGGAGTTTTTAAACACCTCAGTGTCACTGCTGGACGGAGAATAGTCCACCAACCAAAAACATCCAGCCAACAGCGTCCGGTGGGCAGCGTCCTGTGACTACTGATGAAGGACTAGAGGATGACCAACATAAACTGCGCAGCAGCAGATGACCTATCGTCTCTGACTTTACATCTACAAGGTGGACTGACAAGGTAGGAGTGTCTAATAGAGTGGACAGTGAGTGGACACAGTGTTTAAAAACTCTGCTGTGTCTGAGCCACTCGTACCAGCACAACACACACTAACACACCACCACCACGTCGGTGTTACTGCAGTGCTGAGAATGATTCACCACCCAATTAGTACCTGCTCTGTGAGGGTCCATGGGGGTCCTGACCACTGAAGAACAGGGTAAAAGGGGGCTAACAAAGTATGCAGAGAAACAGATGGACTACAGTCTGTAATTGTAGAACTACAAAGTGCACCTATATAATAAGTGGAGCTGATAAAATGGACAGTGAGCGTAAAAACAAGGAGGTGGTCATAATGTTATGCCTGATCAGTGTATGTTTCAACCTGAATATACACATGACTCCCTGGGCCCAGTAGCATGACAGTAAGTCAGCACATCAAAGACGAAGAAAAAGTAAATAACTTCGCATTCACTTCTCTGTGATCTGTAAAAATGACATTGAAACAGCTGTAAATTTTAGAGTATCCCACTGAAGGCCTTCTTTGTGATCATCAGGTGAAAAATGATCATCACATACAGGGAGATTTTGCACGGTGACTTTACTGATCGTCTCGCTTGCTAGTTTGTGGTTCATTGCCAAAAGCCAAAGGATATTGATGGTAATGTACCAGAGGATTTCTTTGTTCTGTATCTGCAAAATAGAACACATTGCATTTTTGTAGGTTCATCATTAGTTGATGTGCAACTTCCTTTACAGTCAGCAAGCCTTAGGCATTACTCTTAGTGCTGGAAAGCAGGATGTTCTGTAGATGATAACGTGGTTCCATTTTACGCTTAATTGTGTAAATAAGGTCTGTCCATGCCCTTTTACTAAATCACCTTTTAATGAGTTGACAGCTTACTGGCATAATTTGAAGCAAATACATGAAGATTTTGTTGTGTATTTGTGGAAACGGTTTGGGTGACTACTGACTTCTAGTGTTAGTACCATTAGCCAAGCAGCACCAGTTATAAACTAAAAAAGTGAAGTTTGTAAATTTGATTTTTCACTGAACTTTTCTTTTAACAGCTCCTACAGGGAAATGCTAATTTAAATTCCATCCAAACTTTCAAAGGACTTCAAATAATTTCAGTCTGTTTTATAATATTAAAAGGTGACTTTGTAATTATACATACATAACCTAGTGTTTGCTAGTTTTAATGTCCATTAACTTTTTTTCTGACCCTAACAGAGGACTCCTGGACCAGGCACATATGAGCCCTCATGGCAAAGGCGCCCTCAGCTCGCCACGGAGACCAGCATGGGTCGCACCCATGGCCTCTACTTCCGTGATGTATTTTAAAACTCCACGCTCACCCGTCAGTCATAACGCCATCGTACGTCATTTCTCCAACCACACAAGCATGGAGCATTCACATTCACAGCATCATCTCTCAACTGGCATTTGACAGATTGCTGCATGTTTATTTTCCATTCATATTAAAAAGCCAGACAGTCTTTGTTTCCAGCGTTCTTGTTTGCCTCACACATATTACATTACACAGACAGACAAATGAAAGTTATCTCAGAAGAGCTAATTGCCGCATGCATTCAGTGGATCACTGTGTTCCAGAAGCCTATTTTTTTCCTTTTCTTATGGTCCACTGTCTTTTACTTAGCATGCATAAAGGAAGAACCCCAGCTCATTATCTACCTATTCCACTCTCTCTGCTCCATGTCCTGCTGTTGTGCCTCGCAGCTATCTCAGCTATGCCATGCTCTGAATGCAGGCTGGCCGTCCATATAATGCCCAAGCTTTTGTGATGACTCTCGCGCTCGCCTAACTCATTCATTTGGAACAAAGAGGTCAGTGTCACACAATGAAACAGCTGTTTCTAGCACTCCCCATCGCACACAAGACCAAACAGCCAGAGAGTGAAATGTGTGTGAGAGGTCCCAAAACATCCCCGTGACATGAGGTATATATGCTGGGATTGAGGATGCAGTTCTCGCTCGAATATTTATGGCCCTGTATACCGTTTCAAATATAGGACTTCAGATTTTTCCCCAGGGAAACAGGGAGCTCAAAACATCTGTGGTCTTTTCTGCAGAAGATGTTTTCACCAATTTTGTGCATAAGCTGTCCACTATATGTATATATGCGTTTGAGACACCTATTACCAATGGGTTTTTTCATCAGCTTCTCTGGGGAACAGAGAACAGGAATCACTGTTCGGGGGGAATTGCGTTTTTCACAGTCCATATGCCTCCTGATAATGTCTTTCGAAATGAAACGTCTTCAGGCATAATCCTATTTTAGCTGTGAAACTCTAAATTTTAACCCAGACTTAATTCCATCAAAAACAAGTGGGCTGACAGTGTAGAAGTGCCACAATGAAAAAAGTGAAGGCTTTCTCATTCCTACCACTATGAGGTGGGAAATATGACAATATATATATATATTTATATATGACAATGATATATATTTATAGTAGTTATTATGATCAATTGTGATTATACACTGTTTTGAGCATATTGTGGATTCCATCATTATAAAGCGAGCATTATTAATCCTGTTAAATTGGATTTGTATATATATATATATATATATATATATATATAAGCATGTATAGACTGTATACTAACCTTTACTTGGCCAATCCGTATAGTCAGGGAGAAGGAAAACTTCACCCACTAGTTTTGATTGGTCAGTACCCTATCATGCTTAATAAACAATATGCTTAATAATCTGTTTCAATATGTTTAATAATCCATTTCATAATCCAGATACCATCACTGTTTTCAAGTCTTCCTTTAGCAGACAGGCATTTCTATATGAGTTCTGATAAAAAAAATTGATAGATTCATCAAAGTTGCCTACAGTCAAATCTGATTGTAAATTGGGTGCACAAAGATTGTAGTTAACTAACCAAAACTACTATCAATATCACTTATAATACATATAATAATTATAAATAACCATAATACTAACCATAATACTAACAATCTGTGCATGTGACTGTTCAGTACAAATGTAGATGCATTTATTTTACATTCACACTGGTGTAAACAAAGGCTGCAACTGTTCCATATTCCATTTGAAGACATTACACTGTGCTTTTGTTTTATACTACTGACACCGGGAGGGACTTCAAACTCCACCTACAAGCACAGTGATTGACTCACAAGCTTCTGAATGCTGTTGTCTTATTGGTTCCGTAATGACAAATGTGCATGAATTAGGGCGTGCTTCATGTAAATGGTATACAAATTAGGTGCTTGTAGACCCGTGCTTGATTTCATGCACTGAAGCTGATCCATCATTTGTGCTCAAATCTCCACTTGTTTCCACATCCAGTGAGTTTCAGCAATCAGGCACTCAGTGGTTTGTACGTCATTAAAGGTGGTCAAATCTGTGCTCTTTTTTATGCAACTTTGATGAAAACAGGCCTTTGTGATGAAAAACTCCAATGAACGTTTATTCTGAAAAATAAAAAGTGCTGAGCTGCTGCTGACATTACAAAGAAGCATTATTATTAATAAAGCTTTGCTAACGTTACCTTTGCCAATGAAAGGTATGTGAAATTAGCAGTGACTAAACAGTCAAGTAGGCTATCAGCAGTTTTATATGAGACAAACTATGACTTCAAAAGAAAGCCAAACTTTCAAAGACAGTTACAAACAAGAGGGCTGTTAATGACTCACAGTCATGGCATTGCAAACCTGTGTTAGTGCAAGAAAAAGTATGGAACAGTGTTTACTGTAAACTGGATGCATAACATAAATTAATAATGGAAATAATAATTATAATAAATCATTGAATTAAAGTAAAAAAATGAAATCCTATATATGCTTTGCCATGTCTTTTACCCCTTCTACCTTTCTTGTGATGCAACAATGAAACACTTTTAAGGTTTTGCAGTATGTTCTTATTAGAAAAACAAGGCCAAGAAAAACATCTCAAAGAACAGAAAATAGGAATCACTGGAGGAATTGCATTTTTCACAGTCCATACACCTCCTGATAATATCTTTCGAAAAGAAACGTCTTCAGGCATAATCCTATTTTAGCTGTGAAACTCTAAATTTTAAAGGTATTTATGGACAAAAGTATAAAGTAATTCTCATGCTAATTCTCATATTCCCTCAGGCTTCAGACAAGGACCTCATCTCTAACATACCCCGAGATTAGATGATCTAACAGCCCTTGTTTTCTCTTTGACTGCGTCAGAGAGCGCAACTTTCCTCTTAAAATCCGTCATGCACAAGCACTCTCATCAGTAAGAGGAGGATCACACTGGCCTGACCCCAGCGTTCAGCTCTACATCCAAACAAGCTACTGTGGAAGCACGCAAGGCCGTCCTCCACCAATCTTGTGGAAAAAAGCCTACGTGTAGTATAAAATATGAAGTAAACGTGTGCTGGAATCTAAATAAAAGCACTGTGATTTATTTCAGTAGTGCACCATAATTCAAACAGATAAATCCCCTAAGAGGGAGTAGAGTTTAAGTAGCAGAAGCCAGATTTTATGAGAGGATTAAGTCTTCTTTGGTTTCTGAAAAGCATCTGGCATCAGCACAAACAAAAATATGACAGATATGGCCATTCTGTTCTAGAAAGAATTCAGGAAGACTTACTTTGCATATGGCTAGACAGTAATATTTATGCTGGCTAACAACAGTTGTGTCCCCAACTAACCTTGACTGCTCTTGTAGGATGTAATTTACATTCACCTGCATAAGACGAATGAGTCATTGGTGTACGGCTAAAACATCTGTAATTTCCATTCTTGTTACCTGCTAAAAATAGAACCCGTATTGGTGAAACTCTAGTCCTTGGCTGGGGGACATCCCGAGGACTTGTGGGAGCTCACGATCCGTTTGAGCCAGGGTCATGTTCAGAGCACACGTCAAGCCAAACAAAAGCAGCATGTGGTCTCGGATCATTTGCCTTGGCCATTGACAGGTGCGTTAGTACCACGGCCGAGCTCTGTTAAATGACTCATGCAACTTTGAAGAGGCTTGAGGGTTCAATGGAGCTCATTTGAGAGCGATCCTATTTGTGTTTGTGAAATATGAAGAGGGAGACTTTGCGCATGATTAGCTTGTTTGTCTCCACTCCAATAAGGGAAATGGTTCAGATAAACGATCTCATATTAAGGCAGAATGGCTGCGCTATTAAGCTATACATGACTATTGCAGAAGAGGCAGACATATGTAACATTATCCGTTCAGCAGATATCGATAAAACACAGGGCATTAATAAGATGTAACTATGTAATGATGTAGATATCTGGGTATTAGGTGTCAGGTCATGACAGTAATGTCAAAGAGTTTCTCTCTATCTTTATTGATGTACACATCTGGCCAGGTCTCTTTGCACACACCCTGGCTCTCCTCATCAAAAAACAAACAGATCAATCAGGCGGTGGAGCTGCCTGCTGTCAGAGCTGTAACCCAGTCTGGACATCTAACCCGCCCATGGTCCGGCCTCCCGCTGCAGCCACAGGAACCACGGGCCACCCTGCTGTCCGCAGGTAACCAGAGAAGCAGAACACACACACAGATGCAGACCAGGGCTGAGAGGCCCGGCACATCAGGTAATAGGTCCCCGGACAAAAATTTGTTGGATGTGTTATTTCTCCAATTCAAATTGAATTGTATTTGTATTTGAAATGCTTTTTTGAATGGCCATTGTCACAAAGCAGCTTCACAGGAACATTGTCTATCTAGTATTGAGTAGTTTTAATCACAGTCTGTGGCACATACCAATGTCATCAAGAGGTTGAATGGAACAGGCACAAGCCTCCATGATGGTCAAATATAGGGCAGGTGAGCAGGGCCACACAATTAAGGTATATCTTACACTTTCAGAAAGGTCGGTGGGATGTCATCAGAAGTGTGGGTGGGGCATAATTTCTTCTCTAATACTAGTTAATCGCTTAAAATCTCAGGCATATTATATACTAAGACTTATTATTCAGTAACTACAGGAACTTCAATGCAAACTGGCTGAGCTATTCTTAGGTTATAGCAGTGTGTAATGTCGGTGGGCCCTGGCCATTTGAGGGGTTAAGCATCTAAAGTCTCAACGACAGTGCCAATCCTGTCAGGTAAGGATTACACCAGTCTACACCAGTCTCTCCAGCCCTCTTGTCCACTATCTGTGCTTCATGCCAGAGAGAACACAACAGTGACACTCCCACATTCCAGGATGACAACAGTAGGGTGTCTGTATTTTACTGGTTCAACAGACCTGATGGAACACTGGGACACTTTGACCACCAGTAGGCTTCTCAATCCTAGTTCTCTATTTGGAACAGCAGGAGGAATGTTAAAATAGGCACAGGTGAACTCTGGCTAAAATGTGCACCATGTTTATGGAAGAGAGGGCTAGAATGGACAAGAACTCTCGAAAGATTGACATGACAAGATCGGCACTCGAAAGACAAGGGGACATGTCACCAGTTATTAGAAAAGAAATAATGCATGTGACATTTTTGTCCATTGTTCACATATAGACAGAAAACAGCTATGAATATTTGCTCAACTTCACTGTTTTAGTGATTTATTTTTACAGTAATAGTTCAGGTAAAGGTGGCAACAGTTTCCCCTCATCACGAATGCAGTCAATCCGTCAAGACGTTTCATTTTAAAGCCTAAATCATCACACACTTGCTTCAAACCATACCAAGTGACATGACACTGTATGACATACTGTTATCTGTAAAATTAGAGATTAGCCTGAAATGTAATTTTTTAAATCTATACACAGTGGAGAGGTACCCACAAGGTGTTCTAAGGCAAAATAGTTCCCAGAGAAAGCTTATTTTCAAAAAACCTTTTCAGATTTATCATTATTTGACCATCATAAACTTTACATACAGTGTAAAAACTTGATGTGTGTTTTAAATCATAAATAAAATGGCTATATTTGTGTTGAAGACATTACAACCCAAGGTTCCTATCATCACCACTGTAAAGAAACCTGAGTAGGTAAGAATCTCTAGAACAGAGCATTTCCCATCAGACCACTCTGAATGACTTTGTTTACATCTCTGATTGAAGTATGCAGGTGTGTCAATTAGGCATGCGATTTGCATAAAGCCAACTGGTGTAAGCTTCCATTAAATGTTAGCTCCATTTGCAGCGTAGCTACATTACAAAACCAAAGAAGTCGAGTGTAGATGCCAAACGTCCTGGCTGACCAAAACGTTTTTGCTTAACTATTCCTTTAATTGAGCAAGGAGAACACAGAAATACATGTCTGTACAGAGTTTCACAAATATAAACACTGTACAAAGGTATGAACCCAGATAGAAAGATGTCTTGCAAAACAGGGACCTCCGCAGAGACCCACACAAGCACTGTGTCTGTAATTAAGTGATTAAGCCAGAGACACCTGAAGGACATCCTTTCACATGAAAAGAGTTCCATTCTAAATCCTCCCTTATCTCTCTCTCCCACTCATCTATCTCGTGCTTCTAATCATTCCCTCTTTTTCTGCCTCCTTCCATCAGAATGTGTGCAGTCTCTCCAGGCTGGGCCAGGGCGAGGAGGGGGGGGTGGTGGTGGGGAGCAGAGAGATGCAGGGATCTGCCGGCCCGCCTAATTATTCAGGCTGTGGAGTCGATGAATGGCGCTGCCTAGCACCCTTCATCAGCGGATGTCAGAGCGGCAGGCCACGCCATTCATTTATCTGTCTCCTTTTACCCGCTGCTGTCATGACCTCCCCATGTGGCCCTATACATCACCCAGCTCTGCCGCGGCTATTCAGCCCATTCATCTCCCCTTACCGCCCGCCTACTGCGCCTCAAACCTATTAACCCACACGAAGAAGCAGAGGGAGCACGAGAGAGGTAAGGGTAGTGAGGGAAAACGGAGTGACGAGAGAGGAGGAGGAGGAGAAGTGGCAGCTTGTGCACCTGAACGACACCGAGTACAGGCTTGCGTCAAGTGAGCATCATGAAGAGATGCATAATGGCTAGGCCTGAGAAAAAAATTCTGGTTGTGAGTAAAGAACACCCACTAGGTGATGAACCTACTGCTCTTCAGGCAATAAAAAAAGGCAGAATTTCTTTTTGCTTTCCACATCATGCTCTTGGGGTTGAGCGGACAGAATCCATTCTGCTTTAAGGAACCCACTTAATAGCGCTTACATAACCAAACTCCATCGTCTGCTGCGCATCCCTCTCTCTTATTAAGAGCCCGAGCCTCTGCATCAAACAGAAAAAAAAAAGCACAGCCAGAAAAGAGCCCATGGCAAGCAAGCGGTTTTGAGTAGGCCCTCGTGCTGGAAGGCCCAAACTCTAAAGCTCCCTCCCAGTCTCCCCAGTAACTCAAACACGGGCCAGGCTGCTAGGCAACCACAGCAGCCTCAGAGAAAGAAAAACTGGGCTTCCAGTTTCACAGCAGCACTGGAAACATTACATAAGATCTCGCTGAGCTACAGCCGCGACGCTCGCGTTACAGAGCTGTGGACACTGGCGTGGAACGAATGAGAGCGAATTAGACACACGCAATGAGAGAGGCTCTCGGAATCACTCTTTATGGAGAGGAATGATGTTTGAATAAACACTCTGAAACACAAATAATACAGCATTTTAAGTTAATGATTGCAGTATTTGTCCGTGAGCAGCGCAGCACAGTGTTACGCATCCTCTTTGGTATGCGTCAGTCATTTTTACACTGAGTGGTTGTTGTTCACGCCAACACGAAGAGATTGTTTGTGCAATTGTATGCCACATAAATATGTGAAATATGTGTGTCAGCATGAGGGTAGCAGATTTATTGGAGGATGTGCATTTAAATTAGAGTTGCAAAAGTCTGAACACCCCTGGTCAAATTACATTTTGGTAAATTTCAAAGTGAAAGTAAGTTAACACATCCTTTACAGGGAACTTACATACTGCATTCTGCTATTCTGCTATTGCCATAACTTTTTCACAGGCCACATTTAATGTTTTATTTTTTCCCATATATGTTAAATCCAGCAAGCAGTAATTGTGCATTAAAATGTGCAGAAGTGTGTTCTCTATAAAGGAACATATTTTCACGTAGAAAATCAACAAAACGTAATTTGACCAGGAGTACCCAAACTTTTGCATACATATCTGCAAACTGCACAGTAACTTAATAATATAAAAAGATAGCAGCTATGATCAGTAATTCTGAAAAGATGTCTTCAGAATAAATTTTATATGTCAAAAAAATGGAGACATATGACAGTACGAGACGTACAAGAAAATGGGGACAGAAAACAGGGACAAAGTATGTCATTCATAAAATGTGCATGTTCGCGCATGTTTGAATATATGTGTCAGTGCATGTGTATGAATGCGTGTGAGCCCCTCGGGGTGTTCTCAGAGTTCTCTGGGGATGACTGTGAAGGGTCTGATGGGGCAGCTGGCTTCCAGCTCCAGCGCGGTGAGGAAGCAGTCAGGTGCCTGAGTGCTGGCCCGGCTCTGCAGAGCCTCACCCAGGCCGCTCCACGCCTCGTGGGACACGCTGTGGGCCTGCACAGCATCCCGTAAAACCTTCTCCCCCAGTCCGACCCGCCCCGTACGTACCAACAGCTTACCCTGCAGAGAGAGAGAGAGAGAGAGAGAGAGGGAGAGAGAGAGAGAGTTGAATACTTTTTTGAAAAATTCTTGTTTTTTCTTTCATGTTTAGGTCTGTCAGTGTTTCTGTCCATCGTGTTTTGGCAATCACAGCACAGCTATGCATTTAGCAGACGCTAACTTGCAATGATAACTGAACAAAACATTAGGGGTCCAGCCCAAGGATAGCAGTGAATGATATACGCACCATAGTAGTGTGCTATACAACGTTTCAGATTTTACAAGTAGGTCTACACACACACTTTCTAAACCGCTTATCCTTCTGGGTCACGGGGAGGGGCTGGAGCCCATCCCAGCGGTCATTGGACAGAAGGTCAGAAACACCATGGGCAGGTCACCAGTCCATCACAGGGCAGACACACAGACATACATTCACATACACACTCACAAATTTAGCGTGTCCAGTTGGCCTGACTGCATGTCTTTGGACTGTGGGAGGAAACCCACACAGACACAGGGAGAACATGCAAACTCCACACAGAAAGGTCCCTGGTCACCTGGCCAGGAATCGAACTACTAGTAGGTCTATTCAATGCAAATATAAGCAGAATCTGAATGATATTCATAGCTATTTGAGAGGACAAACAACATTTTGAAAAATGCTTGTTTTATTTTTTTTTCATTTTTAAACAACTCAGTGTCTGGGTGGCTCTCTCACTGTCCCTCATATACCTTAACTATTGGAAACTTAACTAACTTCATTTTCAGGTCTATTCTATACAATTTCCTGTGTGTCGTCAAGCAGAAACTGAATATGATTGCTTGAAATCTACTTGCTTTTTGAAAAATGCCTGTTTTGGTTCTTTATAGGTTTAGGCCCCTCAGTTCTGCTGTAGTAAAGGCAGCTGTGCTGCAGTTTGTGTTCAGTGGGGGACGGCAGAACCAGGTCGCCTGTATGGAGCATGAAATTGGCTTTTGAGTTGTGTAAAGAAAGCGAGTGGATATGAGTGAGTATGCGGGAATATATGTATGTATTTGTGTGTGTGTGTGTAAAACTTAGAACTTGGTGGCACACACACAGGTTTGTTTTTATACAATGTCAGGATGTGCGGCCATACAGATGCCCCATATGCATTACGTATATGTAACTACCTAAGTACAATAAGAACATTTAAGCCTAACCCTAAACCTGGCCCTAATCTTAACCTCAATAACCTAAAATAATTATTTTTTTAAACAAAGTCAATTTGTTGGTCCTGAAGTTGTAGGTTATCCTTGTTTTCTGGTACAAAATCAGGATGTTTTCATCCGGATACCCACATTATTAGTTTCTGACCATGCACACACACTAAAACAGAGTTAGGTAAAGAGAGAGGGGTCATTTTCTGGAACATTACAACTCATTTTTTAAAAGGAGTAATGGGCAGGTGTGCTCTTTGTTTGTTGAACTCTCTTCACATCCTCTTATGACTGCAATGAAAGCTGCAAGGGGGATTGGGTTGATAGTAACACTTTACTTGCAACCTGCCACTTAACATTGACATAACCATGCTGTAAACATGTCACGGCAGATGAAGCATGCTGTCATGAGTTTTCATAACAAATTTTGTTTCCAGAGTAAAATTATATCACGTTATCATTACCAGTAATTGTCATATGCTTGGTGTCATGATAGATTATATCACATGCAAATTTTTGCTAAGTATACTCAGCCATAATGACATCAAACATAAAAATACGAGCACTAATAGCATAACAAATACCAGTACTGGTATCATCGCACTATTACTGGACATAAGCCATATTGTGACACCTCACACCGGCATATGACATTGCCAGTGTTATGTAGCAGGTGTTGCAGTGTTGATTTATGTGTTCTTTCTATAAATAAAAGTGTGTATTCAAATCATACACAAGAGTGTGCGTTTGCATGCACGTGTGTGTGGAGATAACAGTGGTCAGCTCAGCGTGACATGCCTCTTTGATACTCATCTTCCTACAGCGTTTGAGACTTTAATATCACAGCATGGCACAACTCAGCCAGCCCAAAGGGGACTCACTCTCAACAAGGCAGAGGCGTCTTATTATGCAGACTACATTCACAAGATCTCTCTCTCTTTTCCTTTTTTCTCTCTTTTTATTTACTTCATGGTGGGTATAATTCTGTTTAGGGGCCTCTTTCTCTGTCCCTCATATACTGGCAACTATACTGCTAAGTACTGCTATACTGCTACTCTATGAGCAGATTATTTTTAATAGTGATGCCCCAAAATGAAAATTCACAACCAAAAGTGAAATTCAGTACACACTTGGCTGAAAACTGAAAGAACAAAAGATTTTATTTATTTTTACTGTTATATTTAGGCTTTTAAACTAACATAATAAAGCTAATGATTCTTCAGATGTGATATTCACCATGCTGGGAAAGGGAACTGAGAGAACTAGAGGTCTAGCATATATTATTAAATTAATTTTAATTAATAATATTAAATATTGCAAGTTTTGAAATTATGAAAATATAAAATATATGAAAAATAGGTGTGAATTATGAAAATATTATACTTCATGGTTTCCCATAGGCATCTAAAGCTGGTTTGCAGGGCCCCTCTGCTCTAATGACTGAAAATACAGTTTTTAAATATGTATGTGGATGCTTTGGAACTCCCATCTAGCAGTCTGAAGTTTCTCCATCGGGGGTTGCTTTAGTGTTTATCATTTAAAGAGAAGAAAAAGCCACAAACTCCAGTAAAATCTAATGCGAATGCATGTCCTCTTGCAATAGCAACTTAAGTTCCCAAAAGATACTGAGATATTGAGTATTATTTATGTGATGTCCATTGAAGATTTTCATTAAATCAGGTAATGTTAAAAGGCATGTAAGCTAAAACCTAAACAAAGCTGAACACAAGTCTAAGCTGCAGCAGACCATGTTTGAGTTTCACTGTTTATCTGCTACTGCTCAAGCTGTTTGAATGGATTTCTATAAGCAGAAGAGCGAAGAAAACAAACAGCATATTAATCACAATTTCTCATGTAAATTAGCATTCAGATTATTTGTTAAATGTCAGATTTTGACAGTTCATTGTAGACCTATTTAATCTTTTGCTTTTATTTGTCCAAAATTCTAAGCCTTTTTTCTCTTTCAGCCAAAAAGCACCACTTTTAACCATTTTGGGATGAAAAGTCAGTGGTTGAAATTTTGGTGTGTCCTTAATCAGAACTACTGCTAATTTTTAACTTGCTAACTAATTACCTACACATAAATACACACTTCCACGTTGCGTGTCCCCTATCAATTTTATTTTCATTTAGGCCTTCTGGCCCTTTAGGCCACTGACAAGGGTCCTCTAGCCATCCCTGTCCTGGACGCTCCTTTCCAGCTGGTTCAAAGGGGTGACCAGTCTTTTGAATTCCACCTCCAGGTCTTGGTGCCAGGTGTTGCATGCTCGACTTTTCAGTTTGCCTTGGGAATTCTGAGGTCTTGCCCGGTAACATTTACCGTGGGCTTGTGGAGCCTGTGGTCAGTCCATCCTCAGTGTCATCTTACGGTTTCTTCCTCCACTGCTGCTGGCTGCTGTGACTCTTTTCTGTTGGGCCACTGGATCTTTAGGATCCTCCTTAGACAGGTGTTGATAAAAGGTCTGAAACTTTTTACAACAGATTTAATACTGGTATTGAACAATCTGTCCTTGATGCAAAATCACTTCCTTGGAGTCTCAGATGTGCCATAGCTGGTCCCAAGCCCACACTGAGAAAGGAGGAAGGATGGGCATGAGGCTGGTCACCTCACCCAAAAACCCCCCCAAAAAAGTCCAGAATGTTGAGGGTTCAAATCCCAGGACTGGAGGGGTATCTCTGATTGTGCCTTTGGGCAGGTAACAGCATAAATCTGTCTTTGAGATGTAAACCAACTTATTCAGAGTGGTTTAATGTGAAATGGTTCATTGTAGAAAAACTGTACCAGCTCAGATTTCTTTACAGTGGTGGTGATAGGAACCAGGTGTCGCGATGATTACAGTACAAAAATAGCCATTTTATTTTCAGAAACAATCAGTGAATCTATAAGCATTATCTGTTTTTTATATTTGTAATGCCAATAATGCTAAAATAGTGGTAGAGCTGGTGCAACTGACTAAGTGCTGGAAGATCAATCCCCAGCTATGCTACAGCCATCTGTGGGGTGGAGTCCAACAGTACATAACTGTCCCAGAGAGCTCTTTCTGGGTGGGAAGGTTGGTCCTCCCTCTCCCCCATCACTCACTGGCATCAAACTAGCCAAAGCTAGTGTCTGTTAGCGAATGTAACAGAACTGGCAGTTAGCGTTCTCCTCCAGGCATGTTGAGCTGTCCAACGATGTTGTGTTAGAAAAGTGGTGCTTCATGTGTCGTGTAGGATGTAACCTTCATCCTCCCAGCTTGGCAGCACTGTGTGTTTGGGGGAGATGTAGCCAGTGAGTGGAATTGGCAAACACTAAATTGGGGAGAAAACTGGGTTTTTTAAAGGTATGAGGCATCAGGCAACATATTCATCACTATTTCATTAAATAACTTTCTGTGATGAAGCTTTTAGAGGCATTAAATGCTTCAGAGGTCTGGTTCCCATCACTACCACTGTGAACAGTTCTGACTTGGTAAATTTCTTTAAAGTGGAGCATTTCAAATCAAGCCACTGTGGATGACTTTGTTTACATCTTAACTATTTCATTATGCAGAAAGTTTGAGAATTTCCCTTTAACCCCACATCACCCTGGGTGGGCTGCTCTGCTGGGGAAGGTGATGCAACTTTCTAAAGTTGTGTATTCTATACAGTTTTACTCTGTCATCAAGCAGAACCAGAATCTGATTGCTTGAGACCTACATGCTATTTATAAAATGCCTGTTTTGGTTCTTTACATTTTTAGGCCCCTCAGTTCTGCTGTAGTGAATGCAGGCTGTGCTGCAGTTCCTATTCAGTGGGGGACGGCAGAACCAGGTCGTCGGTATGGAGCATGAAATTGGCTTTTGAGTAGAGAAACAGAGTGG